GTGCGCTTTGATTGACATGACATGACCTTCAATGCGCAATGGCACTACTGCGCATTTTACGAGCAGTAGTTAATCACGAAACTATTAACGATCGCAACGAAATTTCTGTGTGTGAAAGGCTCGTGATTAGTTTAAACACGTTCGAAACACGTTTATACTAATCATGTTTATTGAATTTTAGCTGTGTGTGAAAAGGCTGAATGCCCTATACACATGTAAAATCCACAGCTCAATGCTACTTGTCTGGCTGATTGCTTCCTCCCAAGTCCCACCTCCAAAAATACATGTATTTGTAAATGAGATTTCTGCCCTTGACTTTGCCTCTCACAATGTCAATAGAGTGTATACAGACAGCTTGCCTCAAGTGCTGTCTGTCAGGCTTTCGATCCACAGACCAAGGTGGTACCTTCTGGCACAAACCAATCGATACCATGTATGCTCAGAGCTGTGGCATCGTTGTATGAAACCTTCTTGTACAACTACAAGTGAAAACGTCTGTGAAATTTAAAACACACATTACCTTTACCATTGGTTATTGGTGAACTTGTAGGTGTTCTAAAAATCAGATCTGCTATAGTGGCCACCTGTCTGCAAATTACAAAGACTACATATTTTGTTTCCCTTGAAAATGGTTTCTCATTGAAACATTTACTAAAGGAACCTGTCTACAAAGACCATATTTGTGCTTCCCTTGGGTGGTCGCTATGGACAGGTTTGACTGTATATGTCCCACCTCTTTGTAAATGAGGTTCATGCACTCGACTTGCCGCTCACAATGTCAAAAGGATAATAGAGTGTCAAAAGAAGCTAGCATTTCCAAGGCAACAAAAAAATCATTGATTTTTCTCAAATTTTGATTTTTGCTGTGTAAATGCAAACTTCTGTATTAAAGATACCTTTTTTGCTCACGTGACTCTCCTTGCCAATGATAATGATACAGGGCATTGATGAGTTGCTCATTTTCAACCATTTACATGTACACTACTACGCACCCCAAAATCAGTATGCCCAAACTACCCAAGTATGCCCAATTGCCCACGTTTTAAATATAAAATTGTAGTGAACAAAAATTGACTGTTTTTCAAAGTAGCGATTTGTTTGTGTAAGGGCGTGTTTATGCTTCACTTTTTCTGGCCAGAATAAGGCATCTGTTACGCGTTTAGTTTAAAACACGGTTGCGTCCATGCTCACTTTTGTAGAATCACTGAAAAAAGGCGATCAGGATCGCCGATCGTAAACTCACAAAAAGATGCGTTTACAATTTGTAAACACGTTTAAATGGGGTCAACGCACTGACCTCTAGTGGGTCTACGTAGCATGCACAGTGAAGGTTTGCGAATCCAGCTGGAAGACCAATTAAGGCCACACAGGGAGAATTGCCTGGAGGAGCCTGAGAAGTGAGCATGAACAGTACACCGTGGAACTGCGATTACGATGAGCGTTTACGATGAGCGTTACAAATCGCTCATTCTGCCTTCAAAAGTGAAGCATAAACATGCCCTTAATCAACCTACAGTGAATGCAGCTGAAGTGCCTCACGTACTGGCTGTCTGGCTTTTCACATACCAAGGTGGTACCTCCTGGTACCTCCTGGTACAAACTAATCAATAATATGTTGGTTTATTGCCATATGGTCTACACCTAGCCCTGTTACTATCCACATGGTCTAATAATCATTTGTCTACTTATCATTTGGTCTATTTTTCATTTATAATAATAACCAGTTGGTCCAATGCCCATTTCATGTACCATCCATAAGGTCTAATATTACATACGTTGATGATAATCAATATGATGTATGCTGTGAGCCATGGCATCGTATCACAAAGCCATCTTATGAACAAGTTTGCACACAATCCATTGCTAAAATGCAATCGGTTGCTCATTTATTCTTGTGTTTTGGGGCCCAGATGACCATTGGTATAAATTTTGTCCACATATCATCGATAACAATGATTTTTGTATAGTAAGCAGATTCCAAACTATTTTTAAATATCCTGCACGATGTGCAAAGCTCTTTCATTGTTCACTAACAAACCGACCAGGTGAAAATGAAGATCAGCGTTATCCTTTCACGACCAAGCACAGATTCTCCCTCTTTTTATGACGTCAATATTTGTCCCTGTTCAAATGGCCCAGGGTTATGTGGGATGAATAAATGATGATCTTGCATTTGTGCACTTCATTTTTACCTGCTTATTAATTTCTGATCAAAATGAATATGGCCAGAGTGCCTCCATTTAGCCCTTAACTCTGCATGTACATGTACATGTATTCCTCATGCTATTAGAAATGATTCATTATCAACGACTACCGGTATATATAGCTTTGGTTTTTGTGCCACCTTTAAAGAAAAGAAAAAATATTATTATCACACAATTCACAAGGGATTAAATAAAAATGTACTTCCCAATCTTACAGTTAAATTGAGTACGGGTATTGGTGTTCAGAGAGATACATGTATATAAATGGATAGCGAGAGATAGGTTTAGATAGATAAAGGAAGAGAGAAAGACAGAGACAGACAGAAAGAGAGAAGTTGAATGAAAAAGATTTGTACATGTAAAGAATGATTGATGTAGCAAACAAGATTGAAGGCAAAGTTTATACTTGTAGGCTGAATATTTCTTTATAGCTACATACAGTACCTCTAATTTCAGCCACAATTCTGGTCAAGAATTTCAGCCACAATTCTGGTCAAGAATTTATGGGCGTATTCTTGAAATAATGGCAAAAGTTAAGAAAGGAGTAAGAGGAGAAGAAGAAGAAGAAGAGAGAGAGAGGGAAATGGATTTCGATGTCAAGAAGGATAGGGATCAAATAATTTTGTGATAAACTGATCGCAGAAGTGAGCAAGATTCAGGGCACAGTTCAAAGCTATGAATATCTGTAGGCATCCGAAACCTCTAATTTCGCCACAATTCTGGTCAAGATTTCATCAATGTATTCACGGTCATCTCACCCTCTAATACCTGGATGCCTTGTGATTGGGTTGCCGTGGCGATGAGTCACTGGTTACCGGATACCAGGTAGATGAAGGGGCATCTTCCCCTGTCCCATGGATGAGGGAGGGTGGAGGAAGAGGGAGGGATGGTGAATGAGAGGGGATTAAGGGGGATTAAGGAGGATTAAGGGGACAGGGTGAACCTCTCCACTGCTTATCTCCTTCATATCGTTGTCTGCTCAGTAAAGGCTCGCTTGGCTCGTTCGAATATGATGTTTTTTAATGTGCAAATGCATGGCAACTGCACCCAACAAAGGCCATTCAAACAAAACATTCACTACCGTATTTAAAGTTCTGTTTTATAAGATGCAGACATGTGAAGTATATAATCGCTTAATCACAAAAAAAGTGAAAGAAAAAAAGAAAAAAAGATGCTGCAGCTTACAGCTTCAAATCTGAGTAAAGCTTAAAGAGGCTTGACCAGGGGACTTCTTAGAGAGATTAATGATTTCATTCCTCTTCAATTTCGCTGCACATCATTATCCATGCATTAAAGATTTTTAAAATATGTCTGCATTCCAAGCGGAACAAGAATATTCCTGATGGTATCCTTTACTTTAAAAGTGAAGAAGAGGAAAAAGAAGAAGACAGGGAGAGAGGGAGAGAGAAATGGCATGTGGGAATGGGAATGCATGGACAGGGGGAGGGGGGGGGGGGGGGGGGAGGCGGGGCATACACTAAAAGTACATTGCATGTTCATTGTGCATACATGTACATGTACATGTATATTCTTTTGCGCTTGCTACCAAAATCCCAGATTACATTTTTATGACTAAGTGTTGACACGAGGATCTCCCTCCACACCCAACCCAACTCCCTTTACCAGTAACCTGCATACACCCAATACATTTAGTCTACAGATTCAGACTCTATTAGCAAAAACAAAATCATGATAATGCCACGAGCGTAGCCTAATTTGTTCAGTAGCTATCTGTGTCTGTATGAAGTTGCTACAGTATACATGTAAGGCCTATGAGTCGAGGGAGACAATGTTTACCGACATAGACTAGTCTTACAGTTCAAATATTATGTTGTACAGTCCATGTACACCGTATGTAATATATAGACGGTATTCTGTGCCCTTATATATTCTATGCTGAAATCTTTATCTGTCACAAAAGCTTACCCAAAGTCTGAAGTGTAGTAATGTAGACTACATTGTACACCTCTCATACTCAGACCTGCTTCTTTTTCGACACAGCCAGAAGAACCGATAGCCTAGTCCCAAGGCTTTGTAAATATACTTTTCCTCTCCGTCCAATGGAGTCTGCTCCTGCAGACTAATCCATCTCTACCTGTGCAAGATAGCTCTATACAAATACAAGGTTCCACGCACTTTGTGAAGTATTGACATTCCATTGGTTGAGTCATAATGTGATACCATACAGAGCCGCTGAGTGGTGAAACGTGATAAAGAATAAAGCCCTCCCTCGCTTGTTTAGATGGTCAAAGTCAAACTTCCATTAGGGAGATGTGTATTGGGAACCTTACATGTATAGGTGTAATCTAGAAAACTATACACATTTACATGTAGGGAAAAAAACTCAGCAGAAAATATGTTTTTTGACTATTTTCAATTCTGAACATATATTTCATCTATTTTTCACTTCCGAATCCTTAGCCTAAAAATGGTAGTTTTCTAGGTAATACCATAAACATGTTGAGTAAAAAAATGACAAGGGTTGTGTGAATCTTTTTTTTAAATGTAATTGATGTTCATGTACATGTTTGCAAGGTCCTGGTTATTGAGTTCAGGATAGGTTTTGTGTAGATCCGCATATTATTATGATGTAAAATAGAGGGTTGAAAAGCATAACGCACCTTACAACTGCAATGTAAGACATGATATTATGATAGTGTTGAAAAAAAGAGCTTAATCAACGCTGATTATGATTTCATGCCATAAATGAAGAATAATACTATATAAAAATGGTATTATTACATGAATGGTGTGTTATGATATATTCTTCTTCTTTTTTTCTTTTTTCTTATACAGTTGGTCCAGGAGCCCCAATTCGACATGGTCAACTAACATCTATAGAAATCAATCGAAAGCCTAACAGAGATCTAGGAATATACTTTGTAGGTGGAAATGAAACTCCACTTGTAAGTACAACGTGTACAACTCTTTATTTCTTATTTCTCTTAAATTGAAGGTGAAAACAGTCTTTCTGTTTCGATTACTTGGGAAACCATATTGAATGGGGGATGGGGGGGGGGGGGGGCATTGTTACACCAAAGTTATTTACAATTTACATGTAGTTGAATGGTCCAGGCATCTTTTTCATAATTTTAATCTCTTGCCCTTCCTCTCTTTTGTCAATTTTTCCTTTATTTCTCTTTCCCCCTTAAGCTACATGTATTTTTGTGATGGATAAAACAATATATAATAATAATAATAATATTTAATTTTTATTATATGGCGCTTAATACAAATGTCTCTAAGCACTTTACAAATATACTATTACTTTGTTCTTGTTTACTGTAAAATCAAAAGCCTTTTGCGAATGATTCAGATTTGTTAAATGTTCATGCCTCAAAACAAATGACACAACACTGGATATTAACAATCCCAGTAAATGGCAGTTGCTTGCAATTTGTGAAAGTTTCATGTTCCACAGTAAGAAGCTTGTGTCTCGTTTTCTTGTTAAATCTCTTGTTTGTTGTGGTTTGTTCCAGATTGGTGTTGTCGTGCAAGAGGTTATACCAGGTGAAGTGGTAGCAGAAGATGCAAGGATACTACCAGGGGATCAAATAGTACAGGTAAGTTATACATGTAGCCTGTCCAGACGAACAGAGATTGATACTGTGAAACCTGTCTATAAAGACCACCCAAGGGAGACAAGAAAAGTGGTCTTTATAGACAGGTGGTCTTTATGTACATGTTGCAATGAGAAATCGTTTTCAAGGGAACCAAAACATGTGGTCTTTGTAGACAGGTGGTTGATAAAGCAGGTTTGACTTCACGTACATACATACATGTACATGTACCCTCTTCAGAGTATAAACAGGCATTGATACAACATCTGTTTAAAGAAATATTAATAAGAATGGTCGCATAACAAATGGAGCGTACATACAGTACTAGGAAACAACACTAAATTTTGTACAGGTCACTTACAAAATAAACCTGCCGAAATTGTTCCGTTCCTTGATTACCTTTGCGCTCCTTTGATTGGTGAAGCGTTAAGATTACCTATTTTATTATTAAATTGCCTCTTTGATTTCAGCTCTTTTTATTAGTTTCTTGATTTCTTTACATCTATTTCCTGCTGTTTAGGTGAATAGTAGAGATTTCACACAGCATAGCAAGAGAGGGGCTGTATTCTGCAGACGTCTCTCAGATTTTGTGTGTGAAATAACCCTGCCAAAAATATTCTGTTCCTTGATTTATGCACTCCAATGTTTGGTGAAGCTTAAAAATGAGAGTCTTTTTAGTATTAAAGTTGGCTCTTTGAAATCAGCTTCTTTGTATTAGTTTCATTATTTTTTGATTTCTTGATCTTCTTTACATGTATTTTCTGCTTTTTAGGTGAATAGTAGAGATTTGCGTGACATTCCACACAGCATAGCGAGAGAGGCTCTGTGTTCTGCAGAGACCCCCCTCAGACTGACGATATACCGTGAGAAGCAGGAATCCAAAGCCCCTGTCTTTACCACAACGGTCCTTCAGGTCTCCCTCACCAAGGTGACAGGGGTTCCACTAGGCATCAAGATAGCCGCTAAACAGTGAGTAGAGGATATCTCTGTAGAGGATGTCTCTGTAGAGGCACCTAATAAAGGGTGCAGGCAATGAGTTTGGATTTAGATTCCCTGAAGAGATTGGACCAGACACCAGGATTGGTATCATGGGATGTACAGAGATGCCAACTGTTCCGTTTTTGCCGTAGTTGTTCCGTTTTTTCACTATGAATATTGCAGTACATTTTTTGTATGTTTTGTTACTTTTTTTTTTTTTTTTTTTTTTTTTTTAGTGACGTTTTTCTTAATTTATGATCATGGGCTTTGTGTCGTAAGTGTATTATGCACGCAGGATGGTGATACGGGCCCCAAACTACGCACATTGCGAACAACCCACGTGTAATGTCGCGCTCCGATCCGGGATACGTATACGTGGTACTGCCGGGTTTTTTAAGCTGCTCGATTAGGGGATATGTTAAGTTGAGAGATTTTTTCAAAAATACTGTTTTTTGCTCTTCAGAATACTTTTTTTTGTTGAAGAAGGTTGGCATCTCTGGATGTAGGACTAAAGGGACTGGGCTGAAGGATAATGGTACATTGTAGCATGACAAGACTATGTTTCTTTCCCGTGGCCTGACTCGGGTATAATCATATATAAAACGACTATGGACAACGCGACCGCAGTATTCACGTGTGTGCAACATTAGCGAAACCGAAGCATGAGGAGAACTTCTGTCTGTTTCGCTAATGATAGAGCGTGCTGACCATTTAATCAAGTCCATTCGTTTACGTGCAGTTGTCGGAGATGGCGCTAACCAGTATTTGCCATGCTTACAGCCCCTTTAACATTGAATACTTTCTGTAAATGGATGCCTAGTGTCTATGTGAATTGATTTTTGCTGATAAGAAATTATATAATAACATGAATTTGTTTTGTTCTTTTCTTTTCATTTTCTTTTACAGGAGTGAGCAAGGAATATACATCATGGAGGTGGTAAGCATCACACAGTTTATGTTCCATAAGAAGCAGCCAATATGTAACTTTGATATGAAACCTCATAGGTTGAGGTTTGAGTCCCAGCCAAGCTCCAAGCCCTTTGGCAAGGAAAATCCAACCTTGATAGCAAACTACTCTAGAGGAAAGAAGATTTTACTCAGAGAAGTAGACTCATGAAAGTTTGAGTGAGATCAGACAAAAAGGGAGAAAGTTATGACTTTCAAAAACTTGTAATCACTTTGAGTTTGGGCTCTTCAAATTGGCAGAATCTGTAATGTCATTGTGATGTAGTGGTGGACAACTTTATTTCAATTTTATTTGTCTGATTTTGCCACTCTGTTTCTCTTAAAGCTTATCTGCCGTAGTTTATAGGAGGGATTAGACTGCCCTGCAAGGTCACTGGACAGGTGGTTATCTCATCAACTCAGCTCTCAGTTAACATAAGAAAAAGAGGATCATGGGGGAGCAATGGTCACCGATTAGGCATTGTTTGTTATATAGAGGGCGCAAGTAGCTGCAAGTAGTGCAGTGGGGCTTTAATAATGAACTTAATACAAGGGTTGGAATGCCCTTGAATCCATCTACTTATGCTGAAAGAGCATCAAAATAACCAAGCGTTTTTTGGTACCAAGCCATGTTCTAATATACCAGAAAATAAAGAGCGTGGTCTTGATTATAAACGGAATTCTGCATCTTTATGTGTATGAGGAGAAGTGAACATGGAATTGCCAGCCACCATTATTGGGGGCCATCAAGTGTGCTGAATAATATTTAAAGGTATTACAAAGTTTTGGTATGGGGTCATGGATTTGGTTCAAATGAACATATTGAAAGCATATGCGATCCTACAATATTCCGTGATCGTTGTTACGGTTGAAATCGAGCCTAAAGTTATGGAATTGTAAATAATAAACTCTTTATGTTGTATAGCTCCCTCTCAAGCCAAGATATCAATTCAGCTATACAACAATGTTTCTTGCCTAAAATCGACTGATTAGCTACTCCCGTTTTGAAATTATATATCACAACTACATATTCTGAGATTTTCATGGTAGCAGCTACCATTGTACAGCCGTAGGAGCTATTTGAAATTTATCAAAATTTACTGGGACTCAGGGAGCACCAGTAAATTTGTGTATTCAAGTTTTCTCGAAAGCAGAATTGTTTTAGGGGCTAAATTTCTAGTGCTTATTACCTTTAAATGGAACTCTGCGTCTTCATTGGTATGAGAAGATGTTGTACGCCTATTTGGAGAGGTGAACATAGAATTGTCAGCCACCATTACTGGGGGCCATCAAGTACACTAATAATTGTTAAAGGGATAGTTGAGTTTTGGTATAGAGGGCAGCGAATAATAGTTAAAACATTCCCTGCTTTGGTTCAGGGATATTCATGCACCCGACTGATTACATAAGACCTCTCTTTGTTATGATACTCTGGGATGGCCCCAAGGTATGGTGAATGAAGCAGTGTTCCCGAATCGGCCTATAAATCAGCCAGTTCACGGTTGTAGTCTGAGCATGAACAGATAAAGGTCATTGCAGAACAAATTTTGAAATAGATGGAGACAAAATACTGGATACATGCTCATGAAAGTTATGTAATCATTATTCATTAATGCACAAGCAGTGCACTCCATGATACACAGGTGGAAGTATTCTTTGAAAAGGGGAAACAAAGGCTACTTATATAGCACCTCTATCGCTGTAGGAGTGATTATTTCAAAATGTACAAAGTGGGACCTCTTCATGTTTTGAAGATCTGTGGATATGCGGGGTCATTGCAGTAATGTGCTAACCGTGAACTGGTCTATTAAACCTGACCGGGAGAAATATTTGTTTTCACATCCATTTGACTGTAGGGCATGCATCTATTATTTGATTTGATTCAGAAATGTTTTCCTCTTTTCTTTTTCATTCTTTGTACAGTTGGAGAGCAGTTTAGCAAGGAGAGATGGGAGGTTAAAGGCAGATGACAGAGTACTACAGATCAATGGATTCAATGTAGAAGATGAAATGCCTGAAAGAGTAGCTAGAATTATACGGGTAAGATATAGAGTAGATATGAGAACAAAGAGAGAGAGAGATAGAGAGATGTGCTTCTTTATCTTTATGTATGCCCATGATCCCCGTTCTGTTCAATCTATGCATGCCTTGCGTGTAACTACAAACCTTTGAATATGTGGATAGACAATTCCTAATTGTTGGCCTTCAAAATAGTGTTATGACGTATAGATTCTCTTTCTTTAAACAAAAATTCTGTGTAAAAGTGCAATCAAAATTGTTTTGACAGGTTAGTACAAACCATAGGGAGAAGGAAAAATAGAATAAAAGTTACGAGTAATCCAGCTGCATTTACATCATTTTTTTTTTTATTTGTGAAATTTTGTTGTCAAACACCATTTTGCATATAGGACATATTGCTCATGTTGAAATGGTAATGTAGAATACAAAAAACTGTGAAATTATTAGCTGCCAATATGTTATGGAAAGAAATTACATCTTTAATGATATTTTTAGACCTGTTACATAATGCATCTAAAGCCCTTCTGTACTAGTTTGGCCAGGAGGGTTAGACCTCCCTGCAAGGTCACTGAAAGGTGGCTATCTCATCAAATCAGCTCTCAATTAACATAAGAAAAAGGAGATCATGGGGGACCAACAGGCACCGCTATTGCATTGTTTGCTATATAGATGGCGCAAGTAGCTATAAGTAGTGCAATGGGGCTTTAATAGTGTACTCCATTAAAGTCTTATTCTATTTTGCATACAGGACTGTGGCGATCGTGTCGAGATGGTTGTATCACGACAGGTGCAGGTCACGACCCCTGAGGTCATCCAAGTACCCCCAGCAGAGCTTCCTACAGAACCTTTCACTCTACTAAGACACGCACTTGCTCCGAAGGTGCGGGCAGAGAAAACCGTCAACATCAAAAAGGTATCGAGCATGTATCATGTAATGATAATGAATAATAATAACAATAATGATAGTAGTGATATTAACAACAACAACAACAACAATGTTAACATAACAATAATAATAATATTAATAAGAATGATAACAATTCTAGTGGAATATAGTATAGCGCTCATGTCTGGTACTCAATTATCATTACCCTGGCTTTAGCATGGCTGCCATTATGATTTAATTCCTGCCAGGTACCCGTTTACCTCACCTGGGTAGAGTGTGGCAAATGTAGATTATTATCTTGTACTCTAGCATACCTAGTTGAGGAGACAGATCAAAATTAATAAACTGTTATCACATATAAAATGTGACAGTTATTGTAATTTATTATTGATAACAAATTCTAATATTCTTTGACAAATTTGCGCTCAGCCAATCAAATGCAGTGATGTCGGTAGCTTATAATAGTGATTGTAACATGTTATTGATAACATGGTTTTTGAAACTTGGCCCAGGGGGGCGTTTCACCAAACTTGTCATCAGTGACAAATGACATTTTTTGTTATTATCTACTGAAATCCTTGCTTTTGATTGGTTATCAGTGGATTTGTCACAGATCTTTGTCATTTGTCATTGAAAAAAGGCTTTATGAAACATGGCCCCTATTCATCTAATCCAACAATGTGTTTCATGACTTCTTCCATTTACAGGGTAACAAGGAGTGCATGGGCATCAGTGTGAGCGGTGGAAAGGGACAAAGGAAGGGTGATGTTCCCATCTTCATCACAGGCATACAGGCAGACGGGTGTGTAGCAAGACATGGTCAACTCAAGGTAGGATCATTCACCAGTCTTTACTTTCTAATTGAGCCCCAGTCAACAGTTAAGTGTGTGTGTTGTAAACAGAAGTTATGGAGCATGTATTGTGGATGTTTGTTGAAGAGATTTTTAAAAGTTGACATTTAATGTTTGGAGTTATCCAAATAAAGGGGAAAAAGGACTAGCATACTTATACACATTTGGGGGCAAATACAGTGGTACCCATAGAAGGAGGAATGTTTTCTCCTGAAAAATGATATAAAGATTAACAAATTTGGTTGAGAAGTTTGTGTTTTTATTATGTCAAAAAATAACTTTTTTTTATTACACACATCGCTGCACAGCTGTAATGCATTTTGCGTTCCGGAAACCCCTCTAGCTCTTAACACTTGATATGTTCACATAGCTTTAAGGTTTTGACTTTCACATATGTTTACCATGTGCAGAAAAGGAGACATCCTTCTCAGTGTGAATGGTACCAGCCTTCTACACCTTCCCCTTTTTATTCATAAGATATGTGTTCACATTGCTTTGAAACTAATGAATTTCATACTCATTCCCCCTTACAGAAAGGAGACATTCTCCTTAGTATGAATGATACCAGCTTTCTACACCTACCCCTTTTTATTCATAAGATACGTGTTCACATTGCTTTGAAACCAATGAATTTCACACTTATTCTCCCATACAGAAAGGAGACATCCTCCTCAGTGTGAATGGTACCAGCCTTCTAGATCTCCCTCACACAGAAGCAGTGAAGGTGCTCAAGGAGTCTGCCAACGCGAGGTCGTTGACGCTAAGGGTCATAGAGGGGGACACAGACCCAGATAATGAAACGCATGGATACATTCCCTCCTGGCTAACATGGCTGTCCCTACCCGAGTAAGTTAATGGAATAGCCCAGTGGATTCAGTTGTACTGTATATTATTTGGGAATTCTTGATTTTTATGGGGGGGGGGGCACTTACCCTTCTAAATAAACATGTGGGTTCATTCCCCCATGCTGACATAGCTGTCTCTTCTCTCAGTAAGTAAATTTAATACTCCAGTAGATGAACTTGTAATGTAAATAGTTTGGAATGCTTGACTTTAAAGAGGGGGTACACTGTCCCTAGTAAAATTGACCTTTAGTTCATACTCTGGATATTTTGGGAATGAGAAATGAGAAATAATGGAGTTTAATGCTCAATTGCCACGGATAATCAATGTGTGGTCTTTATATTCATAAAAAATACATACATGTGTGTAAAACCTGTTCTTTATTATAAATACTGGTAGACAGGTGGAAGGGAGGGAATCCCTATCAATAAACAGACATAATGCAATGAAAACTCAAAATAAATGGCATGTTGTTGCTGTGCCAGGTGCTGTCGGCAATCCCACCAGATCACCCTAGAGAAGGTCCCCAATGCTAGCCTGGGCTTCAGCATAGTAGGCGGCAATGACTCCACACACGGTGCTCAACCTATCTACGTCAAGACGGTCGTCAGTGATAGTATAGCAGCGAAAAGTGGATTATTGAAGTGAGTCATGTCATGTATTAAAGCCCTAGTGCACTACTTGTAGCTACTTGCCCCCTCTATATAGAAAACAATGCCTAAGCGGTGTCCGTTGGTCCCCCATGATCCTCTTTTCCTTATGTCAATGGAGAGCTGAGTTGATGAGATAACCACCTGTCAGCAACCACACTGGGTGGTCTAATCCATCCTGGCCAAACTAGTACAGACAGGCTTTAACAGTTTCATGTGATTAGTTTTCTTAGGGAGGAGTAGAAAGGGGGCTGTTGAGATTCTGTTCTTCTTGTTGCAGATCTCGGCAGCATGTAATACCCATGAATTCAATCTCTACATTTTCAGAGGCTCTTCAAAATATCTGTGATAACTACTAGGCCATCACAATAGTCAAAATTGCATATATTACATGTTGATTGTAAAGAACTTCAAGAAAACTTGGAGGAAATGTCAATACTATTGTATTCCCTAATAAATCATAATCGAATTAGGTCGGATTTACTTATTGTAGAGATCGCACTTTTCATTAGGTGATGGGAAACGCTCGTGAAATTGCCTTAGTCTTAATGATCAGGTTCTGTATGTCACAACAAAACATGATATTAGAAATGGCACCTACATCTTAATAGACAAATAAAAGATATATGAATCTCGAAAAGAAATCTAAATCTAGAACAGTAGAATAGTACAAAAAGAATGATAACAATTAACATAAATCTGTGTTTTATTCCTTGTTAGATGCGGTGACATCATCGAGTCCGTCAACTCCGTCTCATTGGTTGATATCTCACATAAAGAAGCCGTCACCTTACTCAAGAACATACCACAGAGGGCGCAATTCACTATCGTTTCGTGGCCCGGTACCATTGTATAACCGTTGCTCTCCAATCCTCGCATGATGGGGATTGAAATTTGTGTGAAACATTCGTGATGACGACACCTCTGAAAAATATTTGAAACCCTTTGTGACTTGTGAATGACATCAAGGTGCAACTCACAGACCTTTAATAGCAAGGGACGATCTCAGAAGTGGCACCGATGTACGTGATGATGATACCAATGCAGTAGAACCAGAAACAATCGTGAAATGAACCTTCATAAATGTTGAGTGACATCAGAGTGCAAGCCACCATTATGTCATGGCCCGTCACCATCTTAGAAGTGGCACCATTGTGGACAGTCTTAGAGGTGGCACCATTGTACGTGATGACAATGATGATACGGTCAACCAAGAAACTTTAGTGACATGAAACCTTCATGAATTCGTGACATCAAAGCACAAGCCACCATCGCGTTGTAGCCCGGCACCATCGTATAGCCTCCATGCTCCAATCCTCAATGGACGAGGATTTCAGGATTGGAATTCTTATATTATGCACGTTCTCTTTGTCAGGGGTTTTTATTTGCGGGATTTAAGAATTGGTGTAGGGTCACGAATCAGGTGGCAAAACATTCAAAAACATGCATCTTATGTATCTTGTTTTAATTATCGCAGAAAAGAAGAACTTGCAAAAATGTAAGCGTCCTTCGTGTCCTTAAAAATATTGGTAAGGGGAAGATATATATTGCATTTAGCAGTAGTATGGAAGATGGTCGAAGCTGATATAAATTATTTAATTTCATCTGTGAAAAGCAAGAAAAGGAAGAATTTACTCGGTAAAGGAATTGATTTGTCATTAGTGCTACAAAGGAATTCACTTCACCACTCATGTATTTATGTGTCATGCATAATTTATATTCAATTCAGTCCCTACAAATTGCTCCTAAATACTTAAGTATGTGGTGTCTTACTCTGTATGTCTTAATAGATATTTTACAAATTATTGGACAGGTGAAAAACTTGCCTAAGGCCTGCCCGGCATGGCAGCATTTAATTACATGGAATGTCATGTATAAATTCCAAAAGAATTGAATGATTTATCAACCCAGCTTCTTTCAAAGCTAAACGAGCATTATGTTATATACTTTAACAATGAGTTAATGTATTTCTAGCAATGAACACATATTGTATCCTGTTATTGGAATATATACCGATAAAATGAACATTTGTCTCGAACATAGTAGCAATATTTTAATGTGCAGGTGGCGCGTATTGCTCTTTTGTATTTCGGAAATTCCTATTTGTTTGCAAACTGTTCTGTTCAGTTGTGCTTAAAAATGCATATTTTGTTGTCATTTGGTGTATTTCTGCTTACATTTATACCCTGTACGCCAAATGGTGGTATTTAAACATTTCTTTTGCATACATGTATGTGCCTTTATATGTTATTACTATTACTTGAGTATGTATGTGTAAGTCTATGATTAAGCCAATGGATGCAGATCAATTGTACTTCTTTAAACAAAAAAACTGCTTTTTGCGAGGACATGGTGTAAAATATTACAGATATTTAGATTTAAAAAAATCCAGAGCCAGAAGGGCGTAAATTTAGTGTCGAGGTTGTGGACCATCGTTCATGCCACATGTTTCTGTAGTACCAAAGCAAATGTTTGTGGACAGTGCATGTGAATTGTAGCAAGACTGGGCCAATTTTGTTGTAGTATGATTATTACAAAACCTTATAGTATACACCAGTACTTATGTGGTACATGATCACCTTTACGGATAGCTTCAACGCAGTTTCTTTCATAATGCAATTGCATGACCAGAACTTAACTTTTTCTTCAATCCCATCCCTCCCTCAAAAAAAATATGAAGGGCCGGTATTCAATTCAATAGTTAAGTTAGAAGTATGAGTATTTCATTTAGCTATTGGCTTTATATATAAGATACTTAGCCAATGTTGATATTCAGTTCAAGCTTTTTGCTAAGTATATATGTTACCCTACATTTCAGACAGCTCCCTACCAGACTTAAGCCAATTATTTGGAGGCCTTGATTGGCAGGCATATGGTTTTCTAAAGCATGACATCACTTGCGCACAATTATATTAGCGCACATTTAAGGCGACTCATCAGTAAGTATGTTGCCGTACTTTGATTGCGAAAGCAATTTGCATAGATGTGATCTGAATACAAGGTAAGACATTTTAGTTAGCTTACAAAAAAAGGTATATAAATGTTATCTAAAAAAAAGGTAAGGAACTGCATCCCGGCCCTGGTAAATAAAGTTGTGTGTGTTAAAATGGTGCAATAGGTGGAAGTTAGAGGGATCATTATAATTTATGCAGACTTTTGGTTGAGTTTCTAATAATTTTTTTGTTTGTTTGATGAGTTATTTTTCCATTGCAAAATAGGTGAACCTGTTAGACTGCTACCAGAAGTAGAGAGATTTAAATGTAGTTCTGTAATGGGTGTATATTTCTATCCCCGCAGTGCTTATAAAAATATCAGAACAACAACCAAACAAACCAAAACGACATAGGAAATATATGAGAATTGGTCTACACCCATTTACAGATAACTTTGTTATAAAGAAATTTCCTATAACAGACTCTTGTTTACAATAAGATTATCTGAGTTGCCTGTTTCTTTGTTATTTTATTTTTCAAATCTGTTATATATAAAGGGTTCAATAATAATATCATATCCTTTTATATAAAATAATAATAGTTATGCTTGGGTTCCATTGAAGTAGGAAAACCAAGTGCACATGTGTAGATTTTCATTTTCTCCCTCAAGAGTTGTAGAGAGCAGGACAATTAGACTCTTTAAATAAGATACTTACAAGCAGTGATGTTTAAAAGATCTTGTAAATTCTGCTTATCATATTCAATATCTGGGGCAAGTATTTTAGAGACTTTGAGTTTTTAATCTTATTGAGAACCCATACCAAACAGTGGCGAAGATATGCTTTAACCCTATTTAGCCCGGGGGGGGGGCTTTAGAAGCCCCCCCCCCCTCGACATTTTTTGCGATGATTTTTTAACGCAAGAAAATCTTGCACTGAAATTTTGTGACTTTTTTCTTTCGAGTCTTGCGCATCTTTTGAAAGAAATTTTTCGAAAATCGGACCTACCATTACAAGGTCACGTGTCCTTTTGTCTTTGCATGTCAGCCCGAAAATCGCTCATTTTTGTGATTGTATACAAAACATATGGAAATCTCATTTTTCAAATAAAGAGATAAAACATTGGTTATTTGGTCTTGTTTATAGTTAAGGTGTTTATTTTGGGGTCAAAAATAGTTGAATTATAGTTGGAAATGAAATAAAACAACAAAACAATAAAATACATAAGTTAAAAAACAAAGAAATACATAAGAAATTATCAAAACAATAGATAACATAAGGAATAACCCTGGTTTTTCATTTTTGTGTTGTATTATTATTCCAAATGGTCTAACAAATATATGTAGTGAGAAAGAATGCTTAAATATGAATAATGTCTGATTTATGGGAAAAAAAAATGTGAATTTGATGGCCTTATTTGCATAAATTACCATAAATATGCAAATGAGTGAATTTTTCAAAAAATTGAAATTACCATAGTATTCTATACACTTCACTTGACATGTATGCAAATTTTCACGGCGATCGGTCGTTTCACGGCCGAGATCATAGGGGGGGGGGGGGGGGGGGGGGGCCTTCGAAGCCCCCCCCCCCCCCCCCCCCCCCCCCGGGCTATGCAGTTTCAAAATAGCCCGGGCTAAATAGGGTTAAGGATATACAATAGTCTATTATTATACATTGTGTTGTAGGTATGAAAGCAATTACTTTAATATGCCAATATTTGTAAATATTCTTCAGTATCGCTAAACTTTATCAAAATTCTATTCATGTATTTATTTTCAACAGCAAAGTGCTTGGTCTTCGTGACTTATGGCCATGGCGACTGGTTACATGGCCTGGCTGTTAAACATTTTAAAGAGCAACCTTAATCTATTCTGTCATTCCATACATGAGTATTTTGGACAATTAAGGTGTTGTAAAATCTTTAAAAACTTGCCAGAATTTAATTTTGTAATGTAATCAAATTGAATTACATACGTCTGTTTTAAAGTGCCTCATAACTTATTAATTCATTAACCTGTTAAGAATATTTGCATTTCAACAGTAATAATGCAAATTACATTACCTGTTGCTAGATAAGGCAAGTCATGTTTAACCAATCAGTGACAACTAAGATATGTAATTAGCGATATGCAATGTAACAGGTGAATATATTAGCTCATCGATAGGTTAAGGTGTATACATTTTAATACATTTTGACAAATGGTCTATTACATTATCGGAATGCATCAACATTGACTAAAACACCTCCTTTTTCCATTTTTTTCTCGAAATGTAGATGCAGTGTAGCTATCTTTGAGAACATTAATTCCCAGAACTAAATATCACTTTCATTTGACAGTTAAGCATGAAATGATTATAACATAGGTTTAAAGAAATGTTGAGAGACGATTTAACCGTTTTCAAAGTATCACGCAAAGTATAGTACTTTCAAATATATTGCAGGGAATGTGCTAGCTAAGTAGAAGAAAACATGAGTTTTTTGAAATAAAAAAATCTATTGCAACGTTGATGCTTTAACTGCTTTTAAAGGGAATGAAAATGCAAAACCAAAGTAGATTTGCTTTTCCAAAAAATATAGGAAGAGGAGTACTACTTATAAGATGGATAGTTGCTTTACATAATTGGCAGAGATCCCAGAAAATCAACCGGATACAAGTTAGTAAACTGTAATGTCAAGATTCAACCTCATTATTCAATTCAAATTTCTGAGTTCTGTATAACCAAAATCTAACAAAATCTATTAAATAATCAAAATATGGCCATTATTGAAAGCAGTTGAATGCACTGAGCTATTGAAACTACCTTAGCTAAAATGAATGAGGATGAATATTAGCCATTTAGGATTTAGGCATGGTGAGCAATTTGTGGGAGATCAATATTAATGGATTCATGGCGACAATTGTAAATAGAAATAATTTAAAGATCATTTTTTATACATCTCTTAGACTCCATATGGATATATGAATGGTGTACATACTATTGGATACTTATTTGTTCATATGTTTAAGTCTAAGTTTCTCCATTATGTATAATTGCTCTATAGACCAAAATGGCATTACATTATGATGCCGAGTGTATTGGTTTACAATGTCATTGTGAAATGTAAAGAATAAATACATATCAATGAAAATACATTTTTCTTACTATTTGCACTTATTTGGTTGAATTCAAGGTTCCATGAACATTCAGATATCATCATTATGCAATTTCTATCCCCCACCCCAGGCACCCCCTCCCCCTTTGACTCGATTCTATGTGAGCCAAGGGAGACTTGGAGTACGAAAATGGTTGTCCAGAAACAAAATGTCACACATGTGAAATAGGAACTAAAAAGGAGTATGAACTTATGTGTGCAATGTAACTGTTTTTTGTTTGGTAATTTATAGTTTTTCCTCTTTTTTTGTGTTGTCTTGTTTTGCTTTGTGTGCCGTTCGATTCTTTCGTGGGTCACGCTGACAGACTCTTGGTGTTAGAATACTGGAATGGACGAGTGCCCTCTTTCGTTGATAAAGTTTATTAGAATTTGCTTCATCCCATGCAAGATGCTGGAATAAGCCTTCAATCGAGTAATACAAGGGATTAAGGGATTCAAATGTTTCGCGTCACCCCAATCCAAATTTCCTCAAAGAAAATTTGTTTTCCATCCCTCATATATACATAGACGTCCGGGGACATTTTCACGTAAGGGATGTGAGGGCCACTTGCCCGACAAAAATATCTAAATCTTAAATGTTGCAAACATGTTATTTAGTGATCAATACATATTAATTGACAGATAAGTTATATATTCGCTCATCTCGTTGCCTGGAATCATCCCGATATATCTTTTTTTTCCTCCAAAACGTGAAGCGAACGAAGGGGAACAAGTTTGTTGTGGTATAAAATTTGTTTATTAAAAAAAATGGTTATATTCGGGCACCGAGGTGCCCGAACCATCTATAAAATGTTATTGCCTCGTCAAAATCTTGTGTCGACTAATCTTTTGTTTTTATGATGTAGACGTTATTCCAAAATGTTTTAATATAACTAAAATATTCTCACACATCCACATATATACGCAGCCACATCCACAAATATACGCAGCCACATCCACATATATACGCAGCCACATCCACATATATATGCACCCACGTCCACATATATACGCACCCACACCAATACCTATAATCACCTACACCCATACCCACCACACCCATACCCATACCCACCCACACCCATACCCACCACACCCATACCCACCACACCCATACCCACCATACCCATACCAACCCACACCCATACCCACCCACACCCATACCCACCACACCCATACCCTCCATACCCATACCAACCCACACCCATACCCACCCACACCCATACCCACCATACCCATACCCACCACACCCATACCCACCAGGCCCATACCCACCACACCCATACCCACCACACCCATACCCACCCACACCCATACCCACCACACCCATACCCTCCATACCCATACCAACCCACACCCATACCCACCCACACCCATACCCACCATACCCATACCCACCACACCCATACCCACCACGCCCATACTCACCCACACCCATACCACCACACCCATACCCACTACACCCATACCCACCCACACCCATACCCACTATACCCATACCAACCCACACCCATACCCACCATACCCATACCCACCACACCCATACCCACCACACCCATACCCACCATACCCATACCAACCCACACCCATACCCACCCACACCCATACCCACCATACCCATACCCACCACGCCCATACCCCCACCAGGCCCATACCCACCACGCCCATACTCACCCACACCCATACCACCACACCCATACCCACCACACCCATACCCACTATACCCATACCAACCCACACCCATACCCACCCACACCCACATCCATACCCACCCACAACCATACCCACCACACCCATACCCACCATACCCATACCAACCCATACCCATACCCACCACACCCATACCCACAACACCTGCCCATACCCACCCACACCCATACCCACCCACACCCACACTCATAAACCCGTACAAACACATCATGCAAATCTAAATAGAAAGTGTAAAAGAAATAACAATTTTTCATTGATACCTCTATGCTAGAAAACTGCAAAATATTTAGGGGTTTTCATAATTATTTAATTAATCAGTGTATCATGATTATTCTGTTTGTGCCAATGCGGCACTTTGTATACTATGTGTTTGGCGCCACCTATTTTGACAAAGTGACAACAAATGTGTTCACGATGGCCTACGTGTATGACCTGCAGTTTTTCCTAGCGGCTTGTGATAAGGAATGTTTGTTCAATCGGTCTGTTTATGGTAATATCAGCTATCATGTCGTTAAATAGTTTATGATTGCTTACCTCCTGCGATATGTAAGTATTGACTGATAAAGCATTGGAGTCTTTTAGGAGATGGTGTCAACGTACAATGAACCTTACACAGTCTACTAGGAGAACTGGAAGGTGCAGGCGTCCAGAATTACAAAATAAAGTAAATTCCATCACATAAAAAAATTAGCAATTTTCCTATTTTAATTCAAAGGGATCAAATGTTTAACGCTGATTAAATTGTTGCATATTTTTAGGAAAATATTACAATTCGTCCGTATGAATGTCGTCTAAGATTTTGTTTAAAGAAGAAGAAAAGAATAGAAGAGGATGGAGAAGAAAGAAAGACAGTGATCAAATAAGAGGACAGAGATTTATAAGATATAGAGTAAAAGAGAAAGAAAGGGTAGTATTTTGAGAGTTAAAGAGAGATAAAGAGAAAAAGGAAGAGGGAGAGGGGGCGGGGTTAGAAGTAGAAAATGATTATATATGTATACACCAGCACATATAGACACATACCCAAACGGAACCAAACACCTATGTCCATACCGATCAACACCGACGTACTCATCTTCAACATACAAATACAAAAATGTTAATGAAATAACAAGTCTTAAATGATATAACTAGTATGCTAGAGTTATGGAATATGTTGAAGAGTTATCATAATTACTGAATTTCCAGGGTATCAATATGTTTCTTTGTGTGCCAAGAGCAATCTATGAGGATGGAACTTTTGGAAAACAATGTGTTTGGCGCCATCTATTTCATTCAAGTGACAACGTTGGTTATCATGGTGGCCTACGTGTATGACCTGCAGTCTCTATCATAGGCTTGTGATAAGGAAAGTTTGTTAAACCGGGCTGTTTATGGTAAAATCAGCTATCATGTCGTTAAATATTTTATGATTGCTTACCTCCTGCGATATTTAAGTACCTACTGATAGAGATTTGGAATATTTAAAGAGATTAAATCTCTTAAACGACTTCATATTCTGTGCTCATAAATTATACAAAATTGTGTCAACTTACAATAACCTTAACTACACACAATACTAGGAGGACTGGAAGCTGCAAGCGTCCATAATTACAAAATAGAATAAATTTCAACACATAACAGGATTGGTAATGATTGTAATACAGTGAATAATTTAAAAGGAATTTGAAGAAGAATATCACATCGCTAATCTCAACGGTAAGAATGATAGTTTTTGTAATTCATTTCTTCAATATCATGAAGTGAGTGTTCAAATAGAAATGTGTCAAATCCAACGGAGGTGGTTGGCTGAAGCCTACGTAAGTGTTTAAGTGTCCCTCTTATGTGTTATAGTCGCAGGCTATGTTACAGTGGGGGAAAAATATGTCCATCGGATAGGACGTAAAATGGAGGCCCCGTGTACAGATGAGTGACGACCTATGCACATACACAAAAACCAAACAACACTGCACTATTCATATATAAGAGTAGGGAGAAGGCCCCTTGAAAATCCCGATCAATTGTACTAGGACGGGATGATAAACTATCAAAGTAAAGTTAAATTCCTTTACTATTTTTTCAATATATTTATTTTCACATTTGAATAAAAAGAACAATCACAATGGCAATTACATATACATTGAAAGAGAAAGTAACAAGTAATAAACACTCAAGTATTCAAATGTGGGGGCATTTGAAAAGACCACAGGCCTATCATATGTATTTGAAACAAACAAAGAAAAAACAAACAAAGCACCACAACGGCATTCCCAATAGTATTTAAAAGGAACATTACATATTTTTCAATACTAGATATTAGATACTTTTTTTGCTAGATGGGGTTTCCCACTCCTTCACTACCATGCCATTACGTCAAGGGCACCATCTGTTTTTAAATACTTTTAATGACGACATGTCTTTCAACATCGCGTGCATTTTCACTTAAAGTAGAATATATGTGTTGTTGGAATATATTCCTGATATCATATCTCCGAGATAAGAA